CAGTGGAAACTGCCAATGGGGGGGGCAGAGGTGATTTCTCCACTGAGAAGCACTATCAAAATACCAAAGTTTTGTACTGTTTACAGCTGTGTCAACTAATCAAATCGGGGAAAAAACAAGAGCTACTTTCGAGTCCTGAAAGTAGTGACGCGTAACGGCAGTGACGTAACATAATTGTGATTGGCCCCTGGGCAAAAATTTCTTGCCCCCCCCCCCCAAACACAAGCAGACAATAGCAATGTCACCATGGAGAGGCTCACCATGCAAATCTCATTCTGCAAACCTGCCTTTAATTAGCACCACGGACAGCAGAGGAAGCGCCAGAATAATCAGCGCTAATCTAACAGCCCGCGTTGGACTCAAAAGAAAGGACCACAGCCTGATCTCTCCAACTACCACACATCCGAAATAGCTTTAGACACAGTATGTCGATTAGCATAGAACAAATAGCCATCGAGAAAAGCATGGTGGCTCATTACATGCCGCTAATACTTCATTAATGAGGAAAATATTAATTACATACTCTACAATATATAAAACATACAGTTTTATAAAATTTCAAAAACCCTGCAAAAAAAAAAAAAAAACCACTCAAGACAAAACTGTGATAGTGGCCTTTGTCAAGTAAAGAGTGGTATTTATACTGAACATACAGCTCTAAATATACTGCTGGTAAATATTGTGATACTTTTAAGTATTGAGAATGATCAACGTGGAGAGTAATATACCCTAGTGTTATGTTGCATAACATTCTGTTGGACCCCTTACACCTGCTGGGCCCTGGTGCAATGTACCTCTTGAGAGATTTTGGAAGCTCACGGAGAAACGGCAGCAGACATGGATTAAAAACCTCTGTTTAAGGTCTGGAGGAGCGGAGTCAGACAGGGCTCGTGTATGCAGTAACTACTTCGTGAAAGGTAAGGCGACAATCATTTAGCTACTTAACTTTACATATCTGGCTAAAATCTAAAGAAAAACAGACCAACGATTCCCAGTCGGCATTCTTCACTTCCTGTCCCCCATTGGCTTTCGCGTGTCATCAGGATTATGTGATTACAAACACTTCATTTTTTCTTGTTTTTTGTGACTTCTCACCGATCACTTCTTGCTTTATGCCATTTTGGGTTATTTACATGCGTAAAAACTGCTTACTTCTGTATTTCACTAAAACATGGAATGAAAACATGAGTAAAGTGTTCAAAACCAACTGACTGGTAGTACATGTACTTTATTTTCATGATGAAAGATGCATCCTTTTTAAGAGTTTCATTATTTAAGCCATGTTTCACGTATTTATTTCATAGCTCTTTCCCAATAGGCTAACATGACAAAAAGGTTAAGGGAAAACACTGCCACACACAAAAAAAATAATAATAATTAAAAATATTTCATTTATGTCATTTTATTTATGTCTAACATGTCTTTATGATACCGCATAAGAGAGCTAGGAACTTTGGCTTTCTTTTTGAGTATGATTATGAAAAAAATTGTCTAACATATAACACATTATGCAAATTAGCTCTCATGAATATTGACGAGAAAATGGGTGATAAAAAGCAAAAATTCATTTTCTTGACAGATATCCACCAGACATTTTACACCAATAGCCATAGAAATTGGACAAAATATACTTTGAGGTGTGTGGCAGACAAACAAGATGACATCTTGTGTGTAAAGGAGCCAAAATATTCCAACGATAGACGAACATTTCCGTATTTGGGTAGCGTCCGAGAGAGCAGATACTCAGCTTTCTGTTGATGTATAACACACAGTAATCCAATGAGTGGAAGAAGTACGATCGTGGAAAGTGATAACCTTTCTTGGTGGTCATATCTTATCGGCCGGGATTTGACAATGCTGTGGGGAGAGAGTTGTTCCTGATGAGTCTGGTGGAGTTCCCACTGTGTTGCATCCCAGCATAGGCCCTGACACCCCACTATAGTCACCCACAATGGTCAACTCTAGAACTGACCGAGCTATCATGACTGAATTCAAGGAAACTGTTAACTCTTCAGGAGGGGCGCGAACCAATCAAAATGTGTTGGGGGAGGGACAGGGGAAGAGGGGGTAAGGGTGGCGTAACACTCAAAATTTGCTGCCTGTTCAAAAGAAAACGTAAGAATTTTATGGCCAATTATTCAAGTCCCATTAGAGCTAAAGCTGCTTAGAGGCAGTCTGTTTTTTTTGCCCCTAAAAAGTGCAGTGAGCCAAGAACTTTTCATCTCCGCTCGGCATTTTCTTTATGTTCTTGACACTTAAAATAACTGTCAAAATGACTGTCTTTGTGGCTCTAAATCATTTTGATTTCGCAAGGTCAGGGGTTCTTCATCTTTGCCTTGAAGTATCACGCTGGTTTTCAGTCTGCCAACCTTTTCATGTTTAACAATATAACCTCTTTTGAAAGAATCTTTTTGCCATATATCACATCACAGAAATGAAAGCGCAGCTCGCCTGATTGATTAAAACCTCACGGTTATGAATGAAGGGCACATAATTGTCATGGCATACATAGGTACTTTTTCCATTGATGTGGCCTTCATTGGGTAAATCAATACTCATTGACGTGAAAAAAGTACAAGTAAGAAAGGTTATTGGCTTCTTTCAATTCAGAGAAGGCTGCTGTGGCTGACAGAACAGCCTGGATGCATATGGGGCACAAGGATGAGTTTTTCAAGTCCCTGAGTGACATTACCATCCCTCCCTTAAAAGAGACTGGTGCTCACCTTAGCCAAAGAGATAAATGTTCTAAAACGTACTGAGGGAGAGAAATGGATTTTTCATTTATAGAGACAGGTTTACATGTTCTAAGTGGGCGCATAAATACTTTGATCTAAAAAAAGGACACAGGCGTACTGTTGACATCTTTTTAAGGTTTTTATCTGTAAATTTTCGCAAATTCATGAGCCAAATTCACTTGAAAATCAAGGATAGCAATCGCTTTGTGATCCAAATCCAGTGTGCTGCTGAAAAGACATTTGAAACTAATAGTTTCACACTGATACAGATTTAAGTATTACTTTTTAATGGTTTCCTTGGCTCTCCATCATCAAGGCTGGGCTTTCATTATTTGAATATCACTTCGTTTTCATGATGAATTGCACACAAAAAAACCATTAAATGCTGCGCCTGACATCAAGGATAATGGTCTTAGCCCAGCAATTTACTCACACAAAGCAGCTGAATTACAAAGTAAACTTTTCTTCATCAACAAAATTGTGAAAAAGCGTCGCTCAATGGAAATGTATAGCACTCAGCGACAGCGGAAAGTTAGCATTTTATAAGAATCAAAGGCCTCGGTCTCGCAACATCTCTGGTCTCACTCGAAGCTTGGGATGACACTGACGTTTTGGAAGTAGATTTTGTGAATTTAACTCTGTGTTTACATTTTTTATCTCGTGAATTGTCAGCCTATTATCGAACAAAAACTCAAACAGCTTTCTTTTAAGTGCAATGCATTTTCGTGGATGAATATTTTACACACAATGTACGTTAAGCATCTTGCTTAAGGTTGCAACTTCAGCTCCCCTCCTGAGAATACAAACTAGAGTCTTAAAGTTTCTATCCCAGTTTTCAGAGCCATTAGGCCACTCCGCAACCTGATCTTGCAACAACATCAATCTGATATTATCTCATCTTGTGTCACTTTAAATAGGCTAAAAGCAGAAAGAATGGCTGGCAAAAGCTGACATTCCTCAATAATATTAAAGGATGTCCAGACCTAGGGGCCTGGGTCTTGCCAATGCAGATTATTTGATTTTAGGACTAAGCCTGCCATTGAGACAGATAGTCATGGCTCAATAATAAGTGACCTGGCCTTACAACCTCAAGTTTACTCTCAATTTGGTTCCATTCAAATTCAGTAGCCTTGAGCAAGATGCTTACGAGCGCCGGTAAAATATCCAGGCGTATGAACTGATTAAACAGAATGTTAAGAGCAAGATAAAGTAGGTACGAGTGTTAACCTGAAGTCATAAAATCAAAATGAGGCGGGTGACAGTGTGTTTCTGGAATAAAGCAGAAGTTTTTTTTTGAGTAAAAGAAGGGCAACCATTGAGGCTGTCTCAATGAATTAAAGAAATCACGGAGCGTTAATAAAGGAATGATTTCGCCTGCAGATGCTCGAGTTTCTTTTTTAACCAGGCAGCAGATTTAACGCAAGGCCCCAGGAAAAAGAAGACATCGTGCGCGATAGAAAAATGGCAAAACTGGAAGACAAGTTGAGCGGAGAAGAAACATTGGAAAAATAGCGGTAAAAGGAGAGAAAGCAAAGAGAACGTCGCGAATAAAGAGAGCGCTGGTGACAGAGAGAGACGCGGTAATGGCAGAAAAAAATGAATACTGCGAAGAAAAGTAAGCATATTCAAGGGGGAAAACGAGAGCAGGAGCGAGAGCGAAAGACAGAACAAACCCAAGAAGATGACCAGAGAAAGTAAAGATGGGAGGGGGGGCAATGGAGGACAGAGCATTACAAATGGAGCGATAGAAGAGCAGCGACAGAGAAAAACACAGTAATGGGAGGAGAGAGAAGAGTGCATGAGGCAGAGAGAGAGAGCGAGAGAGAGATAGAGAGGCCAAATAGGGAGGGAAGTAAGAAAGATGAAGGTGCAGCGTGATGTTTACAGGAGAGAGTCAGCGGATCTGGCAGCCCTGCGCTCACAAACACGCGGGTGTTTTGACAGTGTCCTCGGCATTAACACAGCCCTGGTCCTCCAGCTAATTAACCCACTGGAGGGCTATTGTCAGTCATGCCTCTCCCGACCCGCTCCTGTCCGCGGCTAGAAGCAACGGGGAACGGAGAGCGGGGTTCGAAAACAAACTAACACGCTGATAAGGCGCAAAGTGATGACAGAGCCCCAGGGAGGTGTCTGTCCGGCGAACTTCAGCACTGCCCAAACGCCCCCATCCCAAAACCACTGCAGCCGGGGGTGGCATGCATGTGCACATGCAGTGTCTTCGGGCGCCTTTCCCCAACCAAAACTTTATTTTCCTAGCAGTTTGGCCGCACGGTGGCACAGTGGTTAGCACTGCTGCTTCGCAATAAGGAGGCTCTAGGTTCGCATCCTGGCTTGCCAGGACCTCCCTGCGTGGAGTCTGCATGTTTCCCCAAGAACACGTAGATTTTCCTCCGGTAATCTGGTTCCCCCTGTAGTGCTCCAACTACAGGGGGATCACACTCCTCAGCCTCCCGGGAAAAGTCTATTCCAGGGTGCTGGAGAGGAGAATTCGGCCGATAGTCGAACCTCGGATTCAGGAGGAACAATGCGGTTTTCGTCCTGGTCGTGGAACACTGGACCAGCTCTATACCCTCCGCAGGGTGCTTGAGGGTTCATGGGAGTTTGCCCAACCAGTTCACATGTGTTTTGTGGACTTGGAGAAGGCATTTGACCGTGTCCCTCGTGGCGTTCTGTGGGAGGTGCTTCGGGAGTATGGAGTCCGGGGCCCTCTACTAAGGGCTGTGCGATCTCTGTATGACCGGAGCAGGAGCTTGGTTCGCATTGCCGGCAGTAAGTCAGACCTGTTTCCGGTGCATGTTGGACTCGGCAGGGCTGCCCTTTGTCACCGGTTCTGTTCATTATTTTTATGGACAGAATTTCTAGGCGCAGCCAGGGGCCGGAGGGAGTCCGGTTTGGGGACCAGAGGATCTCATCTTTGCTTTTTTATGGATGATGTCGTCCTGTTGGCTCCTTCAACCAGGACCTTCAGCATGTACTGGGGTGGTTTGCAGCCGAAAAGCGGCGGCTGGGATGAGAATCAGCACCTCCAAGTCCGAGGCCATGGTTCTCGACCGAAAAAGGTGGCTAGCCCCTCCGGGTTGGAGGAGAGCTCCTGCCTCAAGTGGAGGAGTTTAAGTATCTTGGGGTCTTGTTCACGAGTGAGGGAAGGATGGAGCGTGAGATTGACAGACGGATCGGTGCAGCGGGAGCAGTAATGCGGTCATTGTACCGATCTGTCGTGGTGAAGAAGGAGCTGAGCCGAAAGGCGAAGCTCTCAATTTACCAGTCAATCTACGTTCCTACCCTCACCTATGGTCAGGAACTTTGGGTCATGACCGAAAGAACGAGATCTCGGATACAAGCGGCTGAAATGGGTTTCCTCCGCAGGGTGGCGGGCGCCCCCTAGAGATAGGGGTGAGAAGCTCTGTCACCCGGGAGGAGGTCAGAGAGAGAGCCGCTGCTCCTCCACGCCGAGAGGAGCCAGCTGGGGTGGCTTTGGGCATCTATATCGGATGCCCCTGGACGCCTTTCCTGGGAGGGTGTTCCGGGCATGCCCCACCGGGAGGAGGCCCCGGGAAGACCCAGGACACGCTGGAGGGACTATGTCGCTCGGCTGGCCTGGGAACGCCTCGATACCCCCGAAGAACTGGAGGAAGTGTCCAGGGAGAGGGAAGTCTGGGCGTCCTTGCTTAGACTGCTGCCCCCGCGACCCGGCCCCGGATAAGCGGAAGAAGATGGAATGGAATGGAATCTGGTTCCCCCCCTAAAAAACAAGCACTATAGGAACACTCCCACCTGTGCCCCTGACCAAGGCTCTGGCTTAAGACCTGGGGCAGGTCCCCCCTGAGTGCTGCACTGTGGCTGCCCACTGCTCCTATGTAACTCTGAGGGATGGGTCAAACGCAGAGGACAAATTACCCCACGGGGGGCAATAAAGTGTATCTTTTCTTATCTTAAAGCCCCCCACCCGTTTATCCACCTCAGGGCCCAAGGTGGTCGATTCCACTGTTGCCTCAACTGTGAACCCCCAGCCAGGAGAGATGAGGACATGGAAAACCAACAGCATTTATCCTCACTCCTCAGAAAACTGCGATATTATCGATCGGCCTGGTTAAGTTCACAGCAAGCACAGATCTAAATGCGATCTCTCAGCAATTGGAATGAGCTGTCGAACAGAATGAGATAAACAGTTTTAACAAAAGGTGACAGGGAAGGTGTTAGGTGCTGTACGACGTGTTTATATTGAGTCTGCTTCATTTGCTCTTCGGCAAATAAACTCAGTACCCAAAGTCTGAGTGGATATTTTGTATGTATTGTTATTATTGTTGTTGAATTGAGATTTGGTTTTTTTTTTGGGTTTTTTTTTTTTTACTAGCGCAGTGCCCATTTGTACAGTACCCCTGGAAAATGTGTCAGTTTGGAATGGGCTGATTGCTTGCTACTGCTGCTTGCGCGATATTGCTGTGTGCAGCTTTCTGGAGATTTCTCCAGAGCCAGTCAGCCAATCAACTTCAAGCTCCACACTGCACTTCTTCGGGTCCACGGGAATACACCCACCAAGTTTGAAGTCAGTCGAATGAACGGTTGTCGAGATATGCGAAAGGGCGCACACACTCGCAAACACATAGTAAGACGTTCCATAACATAAATTATTGATTCACTCGACCATTAATGTCCAGAGCACATTAATAGTTACAGGTGCTGAGCAAGACATCGCCAGCATTCTGCACACAGATACAAAATGGAGTTGCTTTATGTTCAACCTCCAAGATTTATTTGTTTCCCCTAATCTAACCTATCATTGCAACTTAGATGCAGAGGGAAGCCACAGTGCTGCACCAAGGGACCAATTCAAATTCTGATGCGAGTGACTTGGTCAAGGCAAGAGTACGCCTTTCGGGGATAGATCTGGGAGACCCAGAGGAAATCTTACTCAAATGTTCTAACTCTATGCAGAGAGGATTTAGCCAACCAGAATTCCTCCTTCTTCAAAGGCAACAGAGCAAACACTGCTGCACCACCGCTCAAAGAGAAGAGTTTATCTCGCACTGCAGAGAAATGTACAAACACTCTTATTGAGGAACGAGAACTAGTGAAATATTGTCTTTATCACCTGCAGGCAAAATAGCAGTTTTTCATGGACACACAACCACGCCATGGTCTGCCATAGTACTCCTACTGCACGCAATCATGCTACATAAAGTAGCAGCCAGTCTGAGCAGTAATATTCTGAGACTGTCACTTTCAACCCATTGCGATCAGACATTAGCCCATGCTAATATCAGATTTTTTCATCTCCTGCTTGCTGTTTCATCCATCACTTCAATCCTGATTTCTGTTAAGCAGGTCAATTTATTTAACGAGGATTACTTGGAGTAAACCTCTTAATAACAAACAAGAGCATTGCTATAAATGACATGTACATTCTTTAGAATTTTCACCAATCTTTTGATATTTTATGGTTCATATTTTCTTATTTATTAGCCTAATTGCTCATCTTGCTTTGTCATTTTGAGGAAGAAATTTGTCAGCCTCTCAATCTTCTGAATTGTGAATGATCGTACAGGAGGTGTGCCCTTGTGTGTGCGTTTGTGTGCGCGTGGGTGTGTGCACGTGTGTTCCTGCACATGCTACAAAGTGAGAACCAGAAAATGTTTTTTCCAGCAGAGTGGGGACATTGTTGGGAAGCGAGGACATTTTCGCCTGTCCTCACAACTACAAAGGCAAATTGTGACTTATTAGTTAAGGTTAGGGGTAAGGTTAGAGTTAGGGATAGGTTAAGGTTAGGGTAAGGGTTTGGGTTAGGCATACATTGCTTATTGTTAAGATTAGGGAAAGGCTGTAGAGACACAGGAAGAATGAATAGAAGTCAATGTAATGTCCTCACAAGGATATAAGTACAAAGATGTGTGTGTGTGTGTGTGTATTTGTTTATGTGTGTGCGTGTGTGTGTGTGTGTGTGCGCGCGCGCGCATGTATGCGTGTGTACGCGTGCGTATGTCTGCATATATTACTGCAGCCAGGCCACAGGCTCTGTCCACGGGAATCACACAGGAGCTTCTAAATCACTCTCCCCTCACACAAGATGTTTCCCATACAACACAAAAATTCTGAACCTTTTCAATCAGATCAAAATTCACCGAAAGAACATTCGCTGAGAGAAAAGTAACCAGAAATACAAAAGGCAGCTTCCATCAGGATGGAAATACACCAAATGCCCTCTAGTTCTGGACAGTAACTCTAATAAAAAGGGGGGAACAGAGAAAAAAAAACTGAATTTCATCTTCACCCTCCAAACATGAGGGGAATTCAAAATGAAATCCAAGCCCCAATCAGGGCTCTGACAGATGTGCAAATTTGCTTTGTTGGCTGATCGCTAAAGTGCATTTTTAGGGCATGTGTACACACAAAAACTCATTGACGGCATTATAATGAGTACAAACAGTGTTTCTCATAACCTGGGGTAGATAACATTTAAATACAAAAGGAAACTCAGATAGCGCATACCTACGCCAGCAGGTTTTCATTCACTAGCACTTATCCACCTTATTCCCATGTCCCATGATCCCTTGTGCGAATATTGGGCGTAACTTCCGCTGCATCCTGTCACTGAACTGTTTACCATGGTAGCGGCTCACGGGAATCCTCTTTTTTTAAGCGATTGGAAAATAATATATGAGGGAACATCACCTTTTAGCCCTCAGACGGGATAAAGTTATGGTACCGCTGCTTTCTACTGTCAAAGAATGGGAGAACGACCTGAAGCAGTGGCCACGCTAGCGCATTTGGCTACATTAGTGACTCCGTTGCCACAGACTACGAAGCTATGAACAATCTACAAAGCTCCGAAGCGTAATGCAGTACTTCCACAGCAACAAGGTCAGTCGCGTTTTGCTAAAGGAGGTAGTATACGACCTACAAGTACTTTCTGAGAATATTTATGAAGGAAACAGTATATTTCAGTGGTAAATATTGCTCTACATATGAAACGTAATGGATTGTTATACAGGGTAAATTAAGCCATCTGACAGTACGAGTCAAATTAGCTCTACTCCAGCCAACTACAGTATACGATATTAAGGTGCTAGCTAATCCAATACTATAACATGTAAAACAGAGTGAATCCATTTTTCCCATACTTTTAATTTTAGTGAAATGAGGTTTGGAGTGCAAGACTATTATTTGGAACAGAGTGGGCTATTTTCAAATTGTAGTAGACTATTGCTACTTCTACAGCCTCATCTTAAACTGTACAGGATGAAATGTTAGCTACACTGACTGGCATTACCGGACGAATACAACAATTTTCTGTCCTCCCTACACGTGAAATCATACCCTGTGCTCTCCTGGCACTGCTG